TTTGTTTGTTTTTCTCTGGTACCGGGAACCGAACTCACGACCTTGCGCTTGCCAGGCAGGCGCTTTTGCCGCTGAGCTAAATCCCCAGCCCCCAAGATTAACCATCTTATAGTAACATTTGGAAATTCTAAAGTCTGAGAAAAAGATATTGTGCAGTAGCATATTATACATTACGTATATTATGTATACCAGAATATAATATAATAATGATTATTGAATGATAACGGTATAAAAATGTCTGTTATATGATGGGCTCATCTACACGCATGTTGTGTAAATGTGATAGGATCCCCAGAACTTTTGCTGTTCTTAGAAAAAGATTGATGTCAATTGGTAGATAAACTCTTAAAATTATTTTCTGCTGGCTTAGAAATTTTTCTAAATCTTAACTTTGGTACTTTTTGTTTTATTTTACTTATTAAAACTGTACAGTGTGTTGTTACAGTTGTTGGGTTTTTTGTTTTTTTTTTAACAGTGATACATTTGACATTTCCTGGGATGTTAGACCCGGGATTCGTCAGAGCAGGCTACCAGCTAATACCTCCTTGTTTGATAAAGATGGGATATTTGCTAATTCAGCTAGCAGCAGACTTCTGGAAAGAGCCCATGGAATTCTCACGTCAGTATTGATCAGTTAATGTGCATTTTTTTTTATGAGTGGTTTAAAATTTCTGGCTGAAAAAATGAAGAAGGTGATGAATTATTTCTATGGATATAATTTTCTTTGAAAAAGCCTCAGAATCACTTGGTCAGTATTTAGAATTATGAATTTAAAGCACTGATGTTTTTTGCTGTTTTAGTTTTCCTTATTGTCAGGAGAATTATGGTTGAATATATTCATTGCGGAAATGATTCTTTATTGCCCTTTGACATGTCCTACTTCTGGAGAAGTAAATAACTGTTACCTGTTATTTAGGATTCCTAGTCAATAGAGCTATGGCCCTTTAATTCTGATAGTCCTAACAATTGGCAGGAGATGTCCTGTAAGTGGTGAATAGGACCATATATTATGGTAGGTAGCATTCATTCAAGCCTATTTCTCATTACAGCATCAACATATTTCAGATACTTTCCAACCATGTTTCTTCAGTGGTAGTTGGATCTATATCTGAATTAGATTCCTTAATCCTTGTCTGAGCCATTGCTTATTAGTATTAATAATCTTAATTTATGTAGGTCTTGCTCTGCTTCAGAAATGTTCACTAACATTTAATTCTCACAGCAACTCTAAGTGTAGATGGTATCTTTATACTCATTTGATACTGTAATGAAACCAAGGCTTAGAGATGTTAGACTTTAGTAGGTAGTAGACCTTAGATTCTACCATAGGTCTTTGTAATTTAGAACATATTTGTAGCATTGGGCTTTTCTTTACTCTTTTTCTGAAGCCATAAGAACCTGAATATAAAATACAAATATAATATTGAGTTGTGAGTGGAAAAAAGCATTTTCAATTTCCAAAAAATGACAAATTACATTTTGCCAAAAAAGAACATTTTTAGAGATTCATGAAATTTAGGCATCCCTAAATGACAAAAGTAAATCTTTTGTAGAAAGATTTTGTAAGAAAGCAGAGACCTACTAACATCCAAAAAAAAAGAAAAAAAATCCTGTACCTTGGAATGTACAATATTATATTATTAATCATCAGGCTTGAAATCTGCTTATTTCTCTATTAGAAAGCAGGTATCAATTTCCCTGTTCTCTTTTCCTTGCTTACACTTCCTTCCCAAAGATGCCTGCTTGCTAAGTGATATAATATTTTTATACAGAGGACCTACACTTCTAGGAATTGGTAATCCATTGTTCTAAGTACAGACTTTGAAGTCATTCATCTGTATGGTAGTTTTGTCTAACAAGTGATTTATCTCTATAGGAGAAACAGAAACTTCAAATCCAAGCCTGCACTTCCAAAGGTAAGTATTACAAAAAAGCTTTTTTGTCTTACTGTGCCTTGTCACATAATTATTTTTTATTATTCTTGCAAGTAATCCTTATAAATTGATGACAAAAAGTACTGTACCTTGTTTCTATCTATGCTAGGGATTGTGTGCACTAAGCTGAATGCATTTTAGAAAATACTGTAGCTGTTATGAAATGGCCAAGTCTAATGCTTCAGGTAAATTATTTCTTGCAAGAATACCATTTTCTAATTATTTTACAAAGCTCATGGATATAAATTGATTTTTCATTTAGTAAAGCCATTTTCAATTCTTCTTGAGCCAGGTTAAGATCAAATTCTGAATTAAAACTTGTAGTAAATGTTTATTTAATCCTCATATTTATTAGAGGAATTAGGCCTTTTCTACATTGAGATCTAGGTAGTCTGTGAGCCTGTGGGCTCTGATGCGACTGCTTAGCTTCACCCTAGTAGTACAAACATGGCTGTAGATAATAGGTAGCTGAGGAGCGCTTCTGCAATCCAATAGAACTTTATTTATGGACACTAAAATTGGAATTTCATACAGTTTTTCACCTGTCCTGAAAAATGGTTCATTTGATTTTTTTCATCTACATAAACCATATAAAAATAGTGGGCCAGATTTGGCATTTGGCTATAACTTTTCTATATACAGAGGTGGCATTTCAGAATTATTTATTGGATTGGTACCTTAGCATTTCCTTCTCTTCTGACCTCCCAAAGAATCTTGTCACTTGGAATCTTGTGAATAAACTTAATTTTAGAATTTTTAAAGAACTGATAGTTGTTTATTGTCTTTTATTTCAAGAAACAAAACATTATTCCTTCTCCTTAAGTCAGCTTTTTTTCATGAAAATAAATGTATTGTTGATAAGAGGTGTGGTAGTGATGAATATGGGTAAAGCACATAAAAAATTATTTTTGAGTGGTTTGCAATTTTTTTATTATAAAAAGTATAATGTAAAGAAAGAGAGAAAAAAGAAACACCTCATTGTTGCACATTTTTATGTATTCGTTTGTCTTCATTTTTTTCCTTCATTGTCTCGTTAGTGTTTCAGAACCTGAGAGCCACTTTTGATTTTATCTGTTTGCATCATTCTTTTCCTTCTCTTCAGATTGGTTTTTTTTTTTTTTTTTTTTTTTTTTAGATCATTTCTTTTCCTTCTCTTCAAATAGATGACTTTTGTTAAGCTTTATATGATACAGCCATGTGTGATAGCATGTGCCTGTAATCCCAGCACTCTCTGAGCTAAGGAAAGACGACCCTAAATGGAAGCCCAGCCTAGGCAACTTAGTGACTTAGTGAGACTGTCTGTCAAGATTAGACAAACAGACAGATAGACAGACACACAGACAGGCTTGGATGTAGCTCAATGTGAAGTCCACTCACACACAAACACAAACTTCATGTGATAGTCAATGCAAAAATATTCTGTACGTATGAAATTATTCCAGTCATTCATAGGGCTCCCATCTCTTTGTCTGTCTTTAAAAATTGGATGTGGATGTTTTGTTTCATTGTGTCTTATAGATTCATATATTAGAGCTACCACGTGATAGCCTGTCAGTTGCTTTTACGAGTATTTCTGGCACTTCATTTTATTGACATAAATGGGATTCAGGATGTTTTTTTATGACAATCTTGAGAGATTGATTATTGACAGACGTTTAACTGCTTTGACCCTTTGTTAATATAACTCTGGCTTTTTATCTTGCTTTGCTTTTTTTGTTCTCTTAACATTCGTAGAAACTTTATTTGTAATAACTAAAACGAGGTAAATAATTTAAGTAGAGGGGATTAGCAGCAAATTAGATAAAGCAGAAGAAATGGTCCATGAAGAGGTCATCCAGACAGTCAATAGGGAAACTTTGGAATTAAATGTTAGAGACTAAACAGACTTGAGAGACATGGAGAACACCCTTTCCAGCAGTAGCAGGGTATACTTTCTTAAGCCCTTGGAGCTTCTCTAGGACAGATCATATATTAGGTCACAAAACATGACATAATATTGGAATTATGTGAAGTCTCTTTTCTGACCAAAATTTACTTTAGGACTCTACTGAAAAACTGTTACAGCTGGTAGATTAATTCATTAAAGTTCAAGGATACAAAAATCATCATAAAAATCAATAATGTTTCTGTAAACACTGTACTATTTGTTCTATTATAGTATCAAAAAAATTACTGAATGGTAAATTTAACCAAGAAAGTGAAAGATCAGTCTATAGAAAATTATAAAACATTCATGAAAGAAATTGGAAACAACACAGTAAATGGAAATAGAGCCCATTTTCATGGGTAGGAAAAAGTAATATTGTTAAAATATCTATACTATACAAAGCAATCCAAAATTCCAGTGCCATTTTTCACAGAAATTGGGAAAAAATCATAACATTCATGTGAATTCATAAAAGATGTGAAATAACCAAACCAGTTTTGAGCAAAAGGAACAAGCCTGGAGGCATCATGCTACCTTAGTTAAAAATGTATTAGAATATCGGGTGTGGTGGCACATGCCTGTAATCCCAGCACTTGCGAGGCTGAGGCAGAAAGATTGCTGTGACTTTGAGGTCAGCCTGAGCTATACAATGAGTTCAAGGGCAGTCTGAGTTACATGGCAAGACTCTGTCTCCAAAAAATAAATATCTATATATATGGGTGTTGTACTAATCAAACACCATTAAAATGGCATTTAAATAATGAGATAAGTTCACCAGTGGAACATGATAAATAGCCCAGAAATAAACCCACATATGTAAGGTCAGTTGATTTTTAACACAGGTGCCGGGTTCACACACTGTTAAGAATAGTCTCTTCAATAAATGATGTTGTGAAAACTGTATCTATGTAGGAGAACAAAGATAGAACTTTATCTCCCCTGGTATATAAAACTCAAATCAAAGTGGATTAAAGAGGTAAATGTGAGCCAGATGTGGTGGTGCACACCTATAATCCCAGTGTTCTGCAAGATTGAGGCAAGAAGATGGAGAGTTTAAGTGCAGTCTGGCAACTAGGTGATTTAGCAAGATCCTGCCTCATAACGAAAAATAAAAAGGGCTAAGGGATTTAGTTCAGTGCAAAGGCCCTAGGTTTAAACCAAAGTACTGCTCCCTCAAATGTTAAATATGACACTAGAAAGTATAAAACTACAGAATTTCTGTAACAGGGCTGGGGATATAGCTTAGTGTTAGAGCATTTGTCTAATATGTGCCAGGCCCTAGGTTCAATCCCCAGCACTGGGGAAAAAAAAATTGTCCATAACATTGGTCTGAAAGTGATTTCTTAGCTATGACCACAAAACCCTGGCAACAAAAGCCAAGATAGACAAATGGTATTACATGAAACTAAAAGGCAGCGCAGCAAAGGAGGCATTTAACTGAGTGAAGAGATAAAATTGGCAGAATTTTCAAATCATGCAGGTGATAAGGAGCTAATATTCAAAATATAAAAAGGGACTTAAGAAAATAATTTGATTTTTAAATGTACAAAAGGACCTAAAAACATTTCTCCAAAATAATGGCCAACAGACTTAATAAATGCTCAACATTGCTAAATACCAGATGTGAATAAAAACCACAGTGAGCTATTACCCATACCTGTAAAGGGGCTGTTATCCAAAGTAAAAGTAGGAGGCAGGCAGGCAGCAGGTAGGTGTTGGGAAGAATAAGGAGTATACACTGTGGTAGAATGTAAAGGAGTACAGCCATGGTGGAAAACCATGTGGAAGATCCTGAAAAAATTGAGAGTAGAAACACCAAAGGATCCAGCAGTCTTTCTAGGTGTGTGTTCAAAAGAATTGAAATCAACATATTGAAGTCATGGCTGCACTGCCATCTTCATTAAAGCTTTATTCACTAGAGCTAAGGAAGCAACCTGCATGCCTATCAACAAATGGATGGGCAAAGCAAATATAGTTTCTATTCCCAGTTTAATACTACTCAGTCTTTAAGAAGGGAATTCTTTCATATGGACTAATATGCTTGGGGAAATAAACCAGAGACAGACATATAGTTCAAGATACACTTAGATCTCATTAGTGTGTGGAATCTAAAAAAGCATACTTAATACAGGTAGAGAGAAGACTGGGAGTTACCACCACAGGCTAGGGAAATGCAGATGGGCAGGGAGAGGAGTAAAGTTTCCTTTAGATAGGAGGAATATGTTCTAGCAATTTATTGCACAGCCTAATAACTGTATTATGCATTTCACAATTGCTTAAAAAGTAAATTGTAAGCACTCTCACTCCAAAGAGAAGTGAGAAGTGTGAGGTAGTAGGTTGTTTAGCTGTATTACATGTATTGTAATACCGCACTGTACTCTATAAATACATGCTATTTTTTATCAGTTGAAAATAATAGATTAAATACTTATAGTCAGTGACATAAAGTAAATTAGAGATTGCCAAGAAGCTGCATACAAGATTTGGGGAGGAGTTACAAAGGGGCACAGAGGACAAACAAGACATGAGTGCCGATGGATATATTCATTATCTTGGTTGTGGTGGTAGCTTTTGTCTTTGTCTATAGTCATTGTTTTCTTGTCCTTTTCTCGCTCTCCTTCCTGTCATTGAACCTAGGTACACCCTACTCCTAGTTATATCCCTAAACCTTTCATTTTTTATTTTACATGGGATCCTACTAAGTAAATCACCCAGGCTGGCCTTGATTATAAGATCCTTCCACCTTAACCTCCTGAGTAGCTGGGATCACTAGTATGTGCTGCAGCACCCAGCTCTTAGTCTGTTTTCTGTTATATAGCAGGATTCTTGAGACTGGAACCCTTATTTATAAAGGAAAAAAGTTTACTTAGCTCATGGTTCTAGAAGCTAGAAGATCTGGAGGCCACGTGTGACAAGAACCTCATGTTGCATTGGGAGCAGAAGGACAGATAAGCACCTGAGAGACAAAACCTGGGGTGGTCTAGTTATAGTACAGCCTCTCTTATGGTAACTAACCCAGTCCTAAGAGAGCAGTATCTCACTCCTGAAGAAAGGT